CATGGAATCACAGTTTAGCCAGCGAGGGCGAGCCCTGTGTTTGCGCGACGAAAACAATCGGATCACCCAATTCGTCTACTCCACACACGAGAGGTTAGAACCGTACTTCCTGTTTCCCGACTTTTGCTTATTGATAGCACCTTCTCCACTAACCAACAGATATATCTTTTATACCAACTGCTTATAGTCGATGGTTGTCGAAAAGTCTGGCGGTTTCCATTGATTTTCTCTGACGGGAGACGGAGACTGACGTCAGAACCTTCCTCCTCACTTTTATGGAGTTTGTAGATGGTGCTTCTGGCGTCAAATGCGTCATGTCCGATGGTGCACTGGCCAGTGCGAACGCTATACATAACGTCTTTCCTTCCGCACATCGTTTCTTATGTCGCACCCATATAATTAGAAATGTTATCAAACGTCTTCCGCAATCCACTTCATTCAGACTGCTTTTCATTGCGATGTATACGTGAAACTTTTGGAAATAATTAGCTAATTTGGTACTCATTCGTATTAATGATCAACCTTTCTTCCACTATATCAATTCGTTCATTCTGCCCAATGCCTGCAGTTAGGCCAACAGTAGGATGCTTGGTGCTGCAACATACGGCATACACGACACGAATATGATGGAGTCCATGCATCACTGCTTAAAGATGGAACTGCTGAATGGGCGAATTGGATTGTGGGAAGCCATACGAGTGTCATGGATGAGCGCGACGCATTTGAGATGGAACCGACAGAAAGCGATATCGGATGCATCTCGTCGCAACCTGCGTATTGTCGGTCATCCGTTGTTAGACCGCTCGTGGCGCTTATTGATGCCGTACGCCATCTTCGTGATAGCGTCTGACTTCAGTTCAATTTATCCGGTTGTGCTTCCCAGCAGCGGTGAGCATGCAACTGTTTTTAGCGATCGTCGACTGCAGACGGTGAACCACGACAGCCATACTTGCACATGCAAAACTAACGTGGGATTTGGACTTCCATGCAGACGTCTGCTGCAGTTCGTACAGCTTAACAGCATGGATGACAACGAACTACCGGTCAGTCGACGATGGACGAGAGAGAATAATGGGGCACTTGCCGTTTTAATCACGTCGTTGGACGCGCCAATAATCGGAAGGCCAGAACCGAGCGCCATTTAGGATATGGCTTTGAACGACCTACGTGCAATGTATCAGCGACTGCAGCCAGCGCACTTCGCTCTGTATACTGCATGGCAACGTAGTTTTGTTCAACAAGCCGTCCCGCAAGAAATGCCTCCGTTCACGTTCCCACCTCCAGTGCACCTGGCCACGGACACAACATTGCCGAATACAATCAGCTGTCGGAGTCCACATTTCTGAACTTGGACGCTGCAGCTCTCCATCTGTTAGCATTGCCGGAGGGGCTTGTCACATCAGCCACCGAAAACGCGGTTTTCAGCGACGAAAGGAATGTGGCAAGCTAGGATGAAGAATGCACTACACCAGCGGTTCTACCTGGTGCACAGCCGACGACCGTTGTTTACGATGCAAGGCATGAACCCCGGAACGCGACAACTGGCAAACAAACCAACCATGCAAGTTTACAAGATTTGGTGATAAATGAAGATAAATGCGCAGAATGCGGCGTACAAGATCCGGAAGAAAACGAGGGGCGAACAATGCACTGGGTTCAATGCCCGTTGTGTGCACGTTGGTATCATGGAAGCTGTCTTCTGCAGCCCCCCCAATAATAACTGTTTTCTGGTGCTTTTTCTGCGACTGACACTGCGCAGTGACTTAGTGACGTTTTGCAGGCCCGATATGTCAACTTGTTTTTCCTGTTCTGCTTAGCTGCATGCGCGCTAATGCCATTGTCAAATATCCACCACTTTACTAATAATTTCATTGCCATGTAACAATGAACGCGGATGTAAGTTCTTCTTCTGTTTACGTCCACCGCATAAAGTGAACCCCTCATCAACATGGTGCGTTGGTGTAACCAGTTGTTCATTGGGCCAACATGTCTCCGGTTGTTTTCACATGGATGAATAATGCTAGATAATAATCCATATATGATGTGTCTATCCTTCCAGGGTATCGACGAATGGGATGAAGGGAAGTATGGAGACACACCCCGGAGTGCGGTGTAAAACGAATAGAAGACTTATAATGAATCTGTAGGTTTCGCCATACTATCGTGTTGTGCAATGTACGCACATAATACACATTGTAAATAAATAAATAAATGGTTTATTCTCGAATGTATTGCGGCACTGTAAATCAGGCAGGATCAAAATTTACAAGCAGCTATGTTTTGCAACAGACATGTTGCTATGCATGCAATCCGCAATGGCCGAAAGAGCCTGTTCTTCTATTTTCTTTTCTCTACACGCCCCCACCATAACTTTCGATCGAATGGCCCACACGAGCAACATTTTCGAGGACCCTGACTCGAACGGTCCTAATTTCTCCGCAGGACGCGTGTCGCTTCTGCGCGGGAGGATGTTCGATTTTTCGTGGGACGATGGTCATTTCTCCCTGGGAAGAGGGTCGTGTTGCGAAGGGGGGTACGGCGGGGTGAGAGACCACTTCCAAGCCCACCCTTTGGCAGCAGAGGACATTGAGGTCCTGTCGGCCATTTTCTGGGCTAGCCAGTTTTGTTGTAGTCCGACAAGTCTGCTCCAACGGCTCGCCGAAAAGCACCCTGCCTTGCAATCAATAAATAATAGATCACAAACGACACAGCGGACTCCGACTTCCGACTAACTCCCATTTGATCCGAACGCCCACTCACTCGGCACAATATTGTCCAACCAAATTCGATTCACCCGTCATTTGCGACATTGAAAGCCTCTTTTGTTCGGCCTTCTAGGGAGGGAAGCTCCGTAGAGCCCCAAAAGATAACTATTATCTATTGTGTACAATTTCACTGATGACCAATTGTACCCAATTCCTTCTTGTTTTAACCTCTCTTACTTTACGTCCATGTTGACCTACATCCGGCTCGACACTTGACAGTCTTGTAAGTTCCCACGCTAACGTGTTGCTTCTGTCGCGCTTCATCCGTCCGTGTCTTCTTGCAGCCCATCGAATACAATCCGCTGTGTCCGACTCCAATTGCTTTCTGATATCCGCGCTTACTTTCGTGCACTATTGTGTTTACTAATCCATGGGTGAAGGGTGTCGCTTTCCTTATCACACATGCTCAGTTTGAGCATGTTGCAACTGCACCTACAGCTTCTTTACATCCGAAGAAGTTGTTCGCTTTTGTTTTAAAAGGGACAGCAGTTCGAACTAGTGTATTCCATTGTTGCAGGGTGCGAACGTTTATCACTACCTTGTAGGGAATGTCGTTAGACAGCCTACGGTTAATGGCCTTTAGCATCAGCTGCATGCTGTTGGGTGGCAACAACAAGTGTAAGCATTTTCCGAACAGACTGCTCTCTTTTTACCCGTGCCCATTTATAAATTACAGCTACATAATCCCACTGTTTGACAATTGAGCAGGTTACATGTTGCAGCCACAACGATTTAAAAGCAGTGCTGCTGTCGTCATATTTTAGAACACAGCATGGCAAATGTGCCAGTCAAATGTGGGCGACCGATGTTAGTAATCGTTGAAATAGGCGATTGTTTGTCAGTGCACTAAGTAGGCAGCGAATAACTAGGTGGACAGTTGATGATCGAGCTTGTTAACGAAATGTCAGCCGCACAACCTAATTACCCGAAAGTACTTGGGAAGAAGCACAATACCAAGGCAAGGTAAATATGCGGGTATTGTCCTCATGGCACCGTAGTAGTAATGGTTAGCAGTACACCTCGTGTACATTGCATAACCCAGCTGCCTACCAGCCGAGACGGATAGTATGACAACTAGAGATTGATACGGAATACAGAGCCGTAATAACCGATTAAGCCGGTGTATGATGTTCATCACCGAAAACGCTGTCGGCGCCAAGGAGTTATCAGTAAAACTGGAAACAGTATTGAATTGTAATGCAAACACGACTAAACAGATCTCGGTTGTATAGTCCCTGAATCTACCGCTGTCCCTGAATCTACCGCTATCACTTTGCGGGATAAGTTATCAGACGACCAAAACCAATGGAACTCATTGTGCATGCAGGTGAGTATCAAAGCCAAGCCCATAAACTTATTACGAATTACTCGTCATCCGAAATCGCCACACTATGGTGAACCCAGACTTATTCGAGTAGCACCAGAATCCTCCACCGACATAGAAAACGTTTTGCTCTCCGCCAACGCGCTAAAACACGGATCCTGTGGGATACGTATCTATCCTGATGTCCCATGGAGCGCGCGACAATCAAAAAGAAACACCGAAGAAGGGCACAGAAGGCAACACCGCCTAAACGCAATCTTCATACATGACGTGCCAGAACATCCTTCTAACGATGTTCAAGAGACCGGAAAGCACGATTTAGCTCAGTGGCGGTTCAATCCTGAAACATTTTCTTCAGATAATATTGTGACACTATCGCTCAACAGGATACCTCTCTCATCAAATCATAGAGGATGCGGCCCTAGAATCCTAAAACTTCTGGTTCACTCAGAGCAACAAGCAAAGGATATTTTAGATCGATGGAGGAGAAATCGGAATTGTCTTTCTGCTGAAATTCGGTTAAAGGTTTTAAACGCTGTGCACAGCTCAAATATTAAAGCAACTGAAGCAGCAAGCATACCGACGAAGGTACAGAAGCGTAACTTGACTACTGCTTTAATTGACTCTGACGTAGGTCTAAACGAAGCTTGGGACGCACCTTGGCCGGATCAATTTGCAAACGAGGTATCATTATCCCATCAAAAAATCGAGTAGCTGTCGACATCCCATCAGTCGACATTCTCCCACACGTGACCCCTTCACTCCTCTTTGAGCTCCTAGAGACCGAGAAACTGGCCTGCTTGTATACGAATGCTCAGGGTCCTTCTAACAAACTGGCCGAACTGAAAGATCGCAAAGCTTCCGGGTCAAATGATATCATTGGTATATCCGAGACGTGGTTGCACACGGGAATGACGGACGCTGAAGTGTCGCTACCAGGCATGTCGCTGATCCGGAACGACAGGCTCACAAAAAGAGGAGGGGTACTCCTGTATTATCGAAACGACTTACAGTGCGAAGCCGTAGAGGATTCGGAATCGCAGTTCCCCGACTCACTTTGGTGCCGGTTGCAGTTAAAAGGCAAGGACGCTTGCCTTATTGTCCTGGTGTACCGCGCCCCTAACTCAACACACGAAACCGACTACTACCTAGCGGCTGCTTTAAGATGCAGTTTACAACAAAAGTACACTCACCTTCTTGTCATGGGTGATTTCAACGTACATTGTTTAGAAACTCCCGCCACGATCGGAGAGCAATTCAAAGCCGATCTACAAGATCTAGTAACTACTGTGCCGCTTTACAATCACATCACTTTACCCACTCGGTTCAGAACAGGTAACAGGCCATCTGTGCTGGATCTTGTGCTTACCAACGAGGAGCATATGACTGATGTGTTGCTTTTAGACTGCCCGTTGGGTCGCAGTGATCACGCAGCCATCAGTTTCAACTTCGTCTGATATGCAGAATATCTGAATGAGAACGATGAGACTGTGCGAACCATCACAAACTATCATCGATTAGCCCAGCTCGTCAGCACCAGAACTTGGTCGTTCCTACAAGAAGTACCCCCGGAAGTCGCCTGGCTCGAGTTCGTCAAAAAATTCAGTCAGCTGATTGCAGAGGCTTCAGTGATAAAATGTAAATCAATTTCTTAGGTTAGGAGCAGATCTCGAAAACTGATGACAGTACGCAACGCAGTGTGGCGAGTGTACAGAGAAGCTCCAGCACAAGAAACTTGGGACAACTACGTAGCCCAAATTAACCAATGCACTCAACTGTTAAGGGAAGACAAAGCCGCCTATCAGCAGAACATCGCAAAAACGTTCAGTGCTAACCACAAACTGCTGTACAAGCATGTTAATAAGCTGCAAAAGGTGAGGCAAAGATTTCCTCCACTCAAGACGGCTGATGGCCCAACAAGAACGGCTGTGGAAGCAGCAAACGCGCTGCAGATGCAATAAGCTCTCATGTTTCGAAGGGTCTTCACACCAGGCAATCTACCAAGCTTTGTCTTCCCCTTGCCAGGACTAACCCACATCACTTTTACCGCGGAGGCTGTATTGCAAAAGCTGACGTCTGTACGCAAACACAGCTCGCCGGGTGTCGACACCATTCGTCCAGAGGCACTGGAAGCAGCAGCAAGCCAACTGTCAGGACCTTTAGCTCAGCGCTGCTTAGACCAGAACCAAGTCACCGCCATGTGGAAGCTTGGAATAATAGCCCCGATTTACAAAGGTGGAAGCGAAACTGATCCCTCCAACTACCGCCCAGTATCACTTCTTCCTATACTCTCCAAGGTCATGGAATCCATAGTTGCCGACACACCGGTGTGCTATCTGGAAAACTGCAACATCATCACTCCTGAGCAGCACAGTTTCCGTCGACAGCGGTCATGTACAACGAATTTACTAATTGCACGCAGTAGTTGGACCAAGGCAGCTGACGCTGGAGAAGGTGTTGATGTGATCTACCTGGCTTTTTTCAAGGCTTTCAATCGTCTAGACCATCGGATACCATTATCCAAGCTGTAGCATTACGGGATTGGCGACCCTCTTCTAAGCTGGATTGCCAACTTTCTACTTCAACGGCAATTAGCGGTCAGAGTTCGCAGCTCTTTATCGAACCCCATACAAGTTGAGTGTGGTGGGACGCAAGACTCAGTTCTAGGTTCACGTTTGTTTTTGGTGTTTATTAATGACCTTGCACAAGGGATCGCTCCAAACTTCCTAATGTTTGCCGACGATATCAAGATCTGATGCAGGAGGCAGGCGAACGCCGACCAACATGTGCTTCAGAGTGACCTAGATACGGTGTATCAATGGTCGACCCAAAACTTATCGCATTTCAACATCAGTAAATGCAAGGTGCCTTCCATCCGACATCATGGCAGCTACTCATACCAGCTCAGGTGTTCTGGTTCAAGATGACTTGGGTTGCTCCAGGCAGTCCGAAAAAGCCTCGAAAACCGGGAACCAACAAGTCGCGCTGTTGCGACTGGCGTTTGGACAAATACACAGCTCCATATTTCCACAAATGCTCAGTGCGTATGTTCGTCCCATGTCGAGTACGCAATTCAAGCCTGGCATCCATGGCTGAAACACGACCTTAATGCGCTGGAGTAGCCTCAACGCCGGGCATCTAAGAACGTAATTGGAATGCGCAATCTTTCCTACCAGGAGAGGCTGCAACGACTGGGATTGTTCAGTGGGAGCTATCGCAGACTACGAGGCGACCTGATTATGGCATGCTTGATTCTGCGAGACCCACATCATGTGTGCCGCCCTTTGCCGCAACTCAGCAGCAATACAAACTTGAGAGGCCACTCATTAAAACTCGCAGAACAATACAGTCGTCTGGAGTGCCACAGAAATTTCTTTTGCATCCGTGTCTGTCACCCGTGGAATGCACTCCCAGATTCTGTCGTCTCTGCGCCGACACTAACAGTATTTAAAAGACCGTAGCAGGATGCACTCATCCACTTACACTTTGTCGCTTAACACTACGTCTCCATCCTACACCTGGAGTATACCATGGAATTATTTGTTGTTTACTGTGAGTGCTGTGAATCTGAGGATAGCGGAACAAACGATAAGCCCTCATTTTCATATTTCAATTCTTAACTATTTTACTGTCCTTATCATCATTACTGTTATGTTGATATCCCCACCAACTATCCAACGGGACTTGTAAAGCAACGCTCCTTAACCCGTATAAATTCACTGTTCATTGTTATCACAGCAGTGAGCCGAATGCTCGAATGAGAATAGCAGTTGCAATAGTGTGGTAGTATAGGTGGTTACATGGAGGAACAGAAGGTGCGGTGGAAAGGAACGTAGTTGGAAAACATGTTAGCGGTGGTTGGGAAAATCTCAATGACCAAAATAGACGGGTACCGAAGGCAGCGAACCTAATTGTTTGCAATGGACCACATCGTTGCCGAACGCACTGGCGGAAAATCACCACAAATAACGCTTATTGCAAACAGTCGTATGGATAGTATATAAGCCAAACGACTGTGGCAGTGAGTGTATTTGTCCTAATCTATTAAGTCTTTGCAGAACACAGTAGAGAAAATCACCGTATATAATAATCAATGCAAACTAGGTTATGAGAATCATGGAAGCCAAAAGACAGGGGTGAATCCTGAGGGGTTGTACCAAGTTCCAGTTATCCAGCTAACCACGTAAAATCAACCGCAGTGTGGTGCGATGCCTTAAGTCGTTTTGCTCTGCATGCAATTAGTTCTGCTGACGCTATGAGTGGGACAAATTATGTAGCCTGACATTCATGTTTCATGTATGTGTGAATGATAGCTTTGATGCTCCTGCGCGTGAAATATGTGCACATTTGATGAAGGCGGTAATGAAAGCACGCACTCACAACCAGCTGTGCTCCTTAAGTTGACAGAAAAAGCACCAGCAACTTGTTCTTCCACCATGCAGTTTGCCGTGTACGACGGAACATTTAAGTTGTATGCGCATTTTCCACTACACCGAATTGTAATGTCGACCCAGATACACGTAACACTGCTATATCCGTTGCACCAGGCTTATATGATGTATAACATGCTGTTAGTGAACATGTTGACTATTGTCCCGTGAGGTAGTTCGAGATAAGATACCGGGATATCAGACCAATAAGGCCAGATTAATGTGACGCCATTTTCCTCTGGTATAAAACGGATTATCAACGCCAGATGAACACATAAACCATAGAGAAGTTCATATCTAAGTCGCTCAGGTGCATTAAACTGAACAACCTGATTACATCGGTTCCACGTTAAAAATTTGGCCCAATTTCAGCATAATGCACAATATGCCAGACAGCGTTGTAGTTTTATCATGCACTGTAAAGCTCTACGTGTAACAGCAGTTGCGTGGCTATTTTGACCTGTGTACAGTTAGCACAGAACAAGCTGACAGTGTGTGATATCATAAACCCGGTCTATAAATGTTCAAGATGATTGACTTCACACCTGCGCAGTTACGAGAGCGTGATAAACAGTTTCACTGCAGTAAACTCTTTTTCACCTAAGACAATAAATGGCCTCATGTGCGACACCTTGACATTCGGCTTATCCTCTCAGTGACACCTGCTGTTACATGCAGTATATTATCTGCGTAAGGGCTACTTTTTGCGTCTAATAACATGATATGTGCTCCTTTCCCAGTGAAACTGCGTATATGAGAACGGATGTTTCACGATGATCTGACTCAAATGTCCAATCCTGTGGTATTGCAATCCCACATATTGTCAACATACTAAGAAACTTCTACTCGTAATTGGCTGCTGTAAAATTTCGTTAATTTACGATGTACTTACGATCATGCCGGAAAAGGCGTGGCTTGCTTTGTCGAGCAGAAACTTCATTTCTTTATTTATTATGTAACAGCAAGTGCTTCTGGAATGAGGGAAATAACATATAAATTGGAGTCCGTACATGTTCTCACACTAATCATGGCATCGGAACTCATTGAATACCGTGTACAACAGGTTACACCATTGCAGTGCGGTTGTTTTGATGTGGTTGGCTTATTAAGTGAACCTGGTCCAACCTATTCATATTTCTTTCTGTTTCCGCATTATTATTAGTTACCATTGCTGCGTTGTCCCGTTGAACACCAAAGCAGACCAGTATAAACCGTTACAACACACCGCTTAATGGAGCTAAGCTTAGCCATAGCATGATTGTCCGGACACTCATAACATTGCATTTAGCGTGATCGGGAAGCACGGAAAAGTGACGTGTATGCTACGCAGATTTCTCATGTCAGACACGGGAATGAATCATGTCACACTGCTTTTTGTGTTCTCAATTATGTGTACACTTGACCATTTATGTAGCTAATTATGGTTCCCATCATATGCTTTACTAAAGCGTACGCCTGTTATCAAGGATTTCCGCTAAACTCGGATTATGTTAAAAGTACCAATCCACAGATATCGATGTGACCTTACGCCAAGGCAAGAATGCGTGCGCAGACTTGCAAGGCTGTTCAAATCGGGCGCAACCTCCCCCCCCCCCCCACTCCGACTGCCTTGGCCTTACCAGCCACGCAGGTCGCAACTGTTGATCACACATCCACGTTGAAATGCCAACTGAGTGCCGGCGCGGACTTGCAAAGCTCGTTTGTTCTGGCATGAGCAGAGGTACATTGTACAGTGCATTTGAGAAGAGTCTTTCGTTTTTGCTCAGTCGCCGCGCTGGTCAGGGGTAGATTGGAACGCACTAATTTGCCGACCCACCAATGGCATGTAAGTCAACTGTATTTACTCATCCACGCATGTCTGGGGGTGTGAATACGACGTGCGGACGCATTGCGGTGCATGTGTCCTTGAAATATGTTAATGACCCTTGTGGAATTTGACACCGGCCAGATCAGATTGGGTCGATGCGGACGTTTTTGGCTGGTGGTTTGCAACATCTCGACAGCAGTGCATAATGCACTGGCTACCGTGTTCAAATGTTGATGGCGCTTCGATAGTTGCTTACTGTTATCCCAGCAAATGATAAAAGGGTTAGTGACAACGCTGTTGTAGACTGAATGTTACCTTCACATAAACCCCCTTAGCAAAATAAGAATTCGTAACAATTAGGCGGTGAAAATATGAGATGCTACTTCTGCATAAATGAGGCCGGAACAATGTCTACCAGCTACTGGAGGCTCATCGGATCTATTTGCAAGTGCGCGGCCGCCTAAGGAGTTAATTCCAGCAGAATACAGAAATAAAAAGAAAGCTGAGTGCAGTGCCTTTTGAACAGATTTTATCAAATCTCATTTTATTCCAGCAGCTTGGACAATTAAATCAAAATCAGTTTCGCAATGAGCACGAGAAGGAATTTTACAGTATTGGTATGGTAAAAGAATCCTAAAGTAGATAAAGAAGCGTTTAGGTCAAATCTAATCACCCATTTTAGAAAGAAAGGTGATGGAAGAATCCAGCGCGTACGATGCATTTATTTGATGAAGCCAGTCTGTTTACGGCTGAATATTCAAGCGTTGTTGGTGTATTAAGCATTTTCTTGACTTGACTTGAGTTCCCCGCCTTGGCAGACTTGAATGTTTAAATATTCCTTATCGCCCAGATACGTATCCGGCCAATTTGGAAAACCTTAATATGCCATCGTACTAGAATTTTTGGTATTTTAAGTATCCATGGAAACTGTGTAAACAGATCACTGAGGATTCACGTTCAACCGTTTGTTCCACGGTCATGACACATTCAGTAGTTGTGAATGACTTAACAAGCGTAAAAGTATTGCCCATTAGTTAATTTCCGGTGGCCGGTGGGACTCTCTGGGACTCTTTTAACTTCCGATATAATTCCACGGGATGTACAGCTGAGCGGCTAATCGTACTCCCACAACGACAGAACAACAACAGATCATGGTGACGTGCTGGTATAGATTTGTTTTCCTATTTCGTTAGACTGCTGCTACCAAAAAAATGCGGATGTTCTACGTGTGCCCTAAAGCTCGATCCACCTGAGTGTTGGCGAAATGTGGGTGGGTGAGATTTACTCTTTTATG